TTAATAGCACTGGAGGAGATTGCCCAGCCTTCTCCTATGGAAGAGCTGGCTGATTCAAACTGCATGCTTTGGAATTGCAGCTTCTTCTTCTTCTTTTTTTAAAATTATTAATTTTTTTAAATGCAATATGGTTTTTTACAACATAGGTTTTCCATTTAATTTCTCCCCATTCATTCATTGTTGCGCATCCTGACCACCCCTCCCAAGTTAATTTTTTCTCTTTGAAAAGAAAAAGATTCTTTCATTGTTATACAATCCCCCCACCCCAAGTCCACAGTTCACTTTACTATGCATTTCTTTTTCTGGAATCTTTTCATGAAAATAATACCGAATCATATATTCCTTTTAAACAGTTCTCTCCCCCATCTGTTTCAATTCAGTATACATTATTTATCCCCTCTTTTCTTAGGTGACCCCAACCCTGATGTCACTCCTGTTTTAGAACAGTGACCCTATGCAATATTTGTCCTTTGTCACTGAGATATTTCACTCAACATAATGTCCTCCAGAGTCACCCATTCTATATAATATTTCATTACTTCCTTGTTTTTCAGTGCAGCATCATATTCCATTGTGTGAATATACCAGAGCTTCTCTATCCATTTGTTTGTTGATAGGCACTTGGGTTGTTTCCAACTCTTTGCTATTGTAAACATGGGTGTGAATATACCTGCTTGAGTGGCAGTTATGGCTTTATTATAAAGGAATGAATTGAGATTGTTTCAGGTTTTCCTATATTCTGACTGGTTCCACTAGTCAGAATATCTGATAGAATACACCAGTAAACCATCTGGGCCAAGGGCTTTTTGTTTGTTTATGTGAGAGTGTTTTTATAACCCAGTTTTAGAATTCTGTTTCTTCTTTTGTGATGGGTGTGTTCAAATGTCCTGACTTTATGTTTATTTAAACAGGCACCGAATTTCTAAGTATTTATTAATTTCTTCTAGATTTTAAATTTTTTTTTTATTTTTGTGTGAGTGTACCGTCAAATCAGATCTGGCTGGTATAGGAGGAGATTGTCCCTCCTTTCCCAGCAGAGCATCTGGTGGATTCGAACCGTGAGCCTCTGGGTAGGTTTTCAATTTTATTGGTTGTTGTTGTAATCCACACAGTCAAATGTCTTTTCATAGCCAATTAAACAGAGATAGATATTCCTCTGGTAGAATCTGCTTTCAGCCAGGTTCCATTTAATGTTGGCTATATCCCCAGTAGCACGGTCTCTTTTAAACCTGATTGCGCATGTCTGGTAGTTCTTTGCTGATGTACTTACCATTCCAGTCATTTTTAAATACTTATCAGCAGGATCTTCCTTGCGTGTGATATTAGTGATATTGTTCAGTAATTTCCACACTCTGTTGGGTCACCATTTTTTGGAATGGAATAAATATAGATCACTCCCAGTCAATTGGCTGGGTAGTTCTCCAGATTTCTTGGCATAACATGGTGAGTACATCTAGGGCAGCATCATTTTGTTGATATAGGTCAATTGGTATTTATCAATATTGTCAATTGGTATTCATTAATATCTGGGGCCTTGTTTTTTGCCAATTCCTTAAGAGCAACTTGAACTTCTTTATCACCATTGCCTCTTGATCATATGTTGCCTCATGAAATTCTTCTGTGTCAGTCAGTTCTTTTTGGTATAGTGTCTCTGTGTACTTCTTCCATCTTTTGATGCTTCCTAAGTCATTCATCAATTCTGCCCTCAGTATCCTTAAGTATTACAACTCAAGGCTTAAACTTGTTCTTCAGTTCCTTCACCTTAAGAAATACTGAGTGAGTTTGTTCCTTTTGATTTTTCAACTCCAGATCTTTGCACATTTCATTATAATACTTAACTTTGTCTTCCCAAGCTGCCTTTTGAAACCTTCTGTTCAGCTCTTTAACTTCTTGATTTCTTCCCTTTGCTTTGGCTTCTCTAGAGCAATATTCAGAGTCTCTTCTGACACCCATTTTGGTCTTCCTTTTAT